ATTTGACATGAGAATATTAGAATTCTTATACTTCCCAACAGACACATCTTCTCTCTACCCCTATCCTGAATTTGTTAAATTATTACTGTGACATTGTGAAAGCTTATGCCATTTGCATTTGAAGATGTGACCATAAATTCAATAGTTTTTCAGATTTGCTCTACTTTTAAGCTGATTTCAATACTCATCATCAGTGCTTTAACTGCAATTTCTCCATTCCTGAGTTATGACTTTGCAATTATTCTTACTATAAATGATTATTGGAATAGAACTACATTGTTATCTATAGGATGGATGAACACACCTTTGCAACACATACTACACACACACACACACACACACACACACACACACCAGCAACCACCCCCAACCCAGGGACTCACTCACAAGGTACAAACTGGAAGAGATGAAACAACTGCCATTAATGGAAAACTAAACATCATATGTTCTCACTAATAAGAGGGAGCTAAGCTATGAAGTTGCAAAGCCATGCCACAGTGGACTTTGGGGACACAGAGGGAAAGGGTGGGAAGAAGGTAAAGGATAAAGACTACAAATTGGGTTCAGTGTATACTGCACAGGTGATGGGTGCACCAAAATCTCACAAATCACCACTAAAGAAATTACTCACGTAACCAAATACCACCTGTTCCCCAAGAACCTATGGAAATAAAAAAATTAAAAAACAAAAGAAACAATTGCCTTCCTGTGTGTCATTGATTCTAAGACACATTTTTTTCATATTTTATTATCTCGGAAAATGAGGTGTGCTTTACAATTGATATCATGTCAGAGTTTAATTGGCAGTGGTTTTTGTTTCTTAGTTAAAAAAATTAAAAATCATATTGCATCTTACAATTGATGGCATCTTTGATGTAACAGGATATAGTGGCATAGATCTAAAGGGACAGCCCATGGAGGAGATGGGGGGAGCTGTGGATGTTTGGCAGGAATGGAAGAAGTTTGGGTAACTGGGGCAGAAAATGGCAAAGGTGATTGTGTGGGAGGATTCACAGTCAGAGACTGGGAATACCTTAGTCAAAAGATTGTACAAAGGTCAACCTGTCCATGATCATCATCCTCAAATATTTGAAAGGCTATCACGTGGAGGAAGAAAACATACTTGTTTCATATGGCTCCTGAGGACAGAATGAGGGCCAGCAAGTCAAGTAAATGATGCTGTGTGGAGCTCAAGAAACTCTGAGTTTTAGAAATTTGAATTAGCCAGCAGTTGGATAAACTTTCTTGTGAGAAAGTGAAATTTATAGAAAGGAGTCAAGAAGAGGCGTATGGCTTTAGAGGGTGTCCCTGCCTTAAGTTTGAGGTTTAACAAAGCAACTTCTCTCCCTGTTTTAAGATTCCTATACTCTAAAAATTCATACCCATTTTAGCCTCCACCAGAAAATAATGGAGGTAAATAATCACAAAGAAGAATAGAGAAATGTGTAGGAAGATGTTAATTGTAGAGGAAGAAAGAATCAAACAATATATCCATTCACAGGGAAATGTTTCAATAGTCACTAAAATCTGATGAAATATAACACGGCTGTTGAAAATGACCATTATGAAGACCACGTACTGGCAAAGAAAGCTAGCTGTGTCTGAAAGTCTTGAGAAAATATGACACAAAATTACAGCTTTACTGATTATATGTAAAAATATGTAATTTTCTGCATATGGAAAAAGCTAGATAGAAATGTGGAAGTGAAAACAGGTGATGTTTTTCACTGGCAGAATTCTGGATTAGTCTTTTTCTCTTTCATTTTAAATTTTCACTATTATTGTGGTTAGCAATTTAAGCAACCCTTTTTGTGGGGAAGTTAGTCTTATTTGAGGAACACCAACTGGGACCTCTCTGATATGAACAACATGTGCTGTAAATTGCTGGTGCTCCTTACTAAAACACTTAGAGAAGATATCTTAAGTTGTTTGGACCTAATTACCTAATAAACAGACCCATTAGGTGTTTATTTTAGACTACGGGCCCCATCAAAACATTACTGAGACAATAAAGGCAACGTGAACCAAGACAATTTTGGAAACCTTTGACATAGCCCCTACACTCAAATAACTCATCATCTAGTCTCAAATGCCAGAGCATAAATAAATGAAACTAGCAAAATAGGTCATATAATCCGGATGAGTACAAAATGAGGAGGGTGATTTGGAGTGGGAGAAGAGGGGAAGACAAGTAATTTTGATTGCATGGAAGGCATCAAGAAAAGCTGCACAGGAAGCATGATTTTTAATACTGGTTGCTTATTTCATCTAAATAATAAATGTTCTTTTTTTCTTAAATAAAATAAACTAGATTATACTGAGAAAATGGTAATCTCCTGCCCCAGTCACCATCAAAACCCCAGTCCTGCTCCCCAGAGCCAACCTCTTTCAATTGTTTTACCTACTTCTCCTGGTAATTGTTTCCCTATCTTTAAATAATATGCTTATACTGTGAAATCTTGTTTCATAAATTTTCAGTCTTTTGTGTTAACTTCCCATTACAGAAGTTAAGGGGTTAGCTTTCTTATGCCATCCTCAACCAACATCCCTAATTTAATTATATATCAAATGCTGGGGGCATTCAATATATATTATATTCATTATATACTCATTATGAGTATATAAATGTTGTTTATTACTGAACCATGTAATGTACCATAATTACATATTCCTTCTCCTAGAACTTATTGTTTTTCCTTGGGTTCTTAATACATTCCGGTTTCTCTTCATTTTTTAAACATACTTACTATTACTTTTGTCCTAAATGCTCCAACAGATCTTTTAAAACTTACCAGTAATTTTTGCACTTGCTGGGCTACAGTTTCAAACACTCTATCCATTTCTGCCTCCTGCCCTCCCTTCTTCGACCCACCCATCCTGCACCCTTTCTCCCACAGCCTACAGTTCTTCTGCTCCTATTGTGGACCCTTTGATCTCCAGGCCAGCTACCTGGCTTTCATGCTAAGCCTTCTTTTCTCCACCCTCCTCTACCCCAGGCATTACATGGCCTGGTTTCTTAATACCACATCTTTCTCTTCCTTGATTGACTCCCTCATTTTATAAAGAACATTCTTCAGTTGCTTCCTAAGAAAATATGTGGAGTGGGTAAAACATTTGAGTTTTTCTTGTCAGAAAATGTCTATACACTATGGTATACCCTAAATCGATAATTTGGCTTAGTATTGAATAGTAGGTTGAAAATAATTATCCCTCCAAGTTTTGAAAACATTGCTTTTTTTGTTCTAGCATTCAGTGTTGCTGAATGCTTCGACATTCAGAAGCCATTCTGAATTTCCTCTCTCTCTCTCTCTCTCTCTCTCTCTCTCTCTCTCTCTCTCTCTCTCTCTCTCCCACTCCCTCTTTCATCTCAAATAATTCATCTAGGGTCTTCTTGTGTACAGTGTGCTGAGCAATCAGGGAACCCGTCAGTGTAGAAGCTCACGTATTTCAGCTGTGACAGATATTCCTACATTATTCATTTGATTATCTTATCCTTTCCTTTTTCTGTATCTTCTCTTTCTGAAACTCCTAATGTTTAGAGGTGAAGCTTCCCAGATTGAGATTCTAATTTTCTTTCCTTCCTTCTTATTCATCATTATTCCTCTTGTTTTTCAACACAGTTATTTTCCAAAATTGTACGCACTTTTAAATTTCTTTTCTGGTGTATGAAATAAAAATATTTTCCCCAACAGCTCTTTATTGCTCTGATGTTTCTTTTTCCCTAGCTTCCTGTTGTTATTCTAAAGATGCAACAGATTTTCTTGTCTTTCTGAAGTTATTAGTGGCAGCTTTTTAAAAGTTTTCCTCTGTTCCCAACATTGTCTCTATTTCACTGAATTCCTTTTCCTTGTTGTTTTTGTTGATTCGTTTCTTTCAGGCGCGGTGGCTCACGCCTGTAACCCCAGCACTTTGGGAGGCCGAGGTGGGCAGATCACAAGGTCAGGAGATCAAGACCATCCTGGCTAACACTGTGAAACCTCGTCTCTACTAAAAATACAAAAACAAACAAAAAAATAGCCTGGCATGGTGGCGGGCGCCTGTAGTCCTAGCTACTCAGGAGGCTGAGGCAGGAGAATGGTGTGAACCCGGGAGGCGGAGCTTGCAGTGAGCTGAGATTGCGGCCACTCACTGCACTCCAGCCCGGGAGACAGCGAGACTCCGTCTCAGAAAAAAAAAAAAAAAAAGATTCGTTTCTTTCATTGGTTGATCTTTTGCGTGTTTTCGTCTCTTTCATGTGGAAAGCCTTCCTCAAAATACCCAGTTATCCGGGATTGTCCACTTGTTTTTTCAGAGTGAAGCACCAAGTGTTTTATCTGAACACTGTAAGCATGGGCAGATACTTAATTGCTGGGTTTTACTGATAGTAATGAAAGGGCAAGCCATCCTTCCTCATGTAGAGCTCCACATGTCTGTCTCTAAAAATGTCTCTGGGCCCACTTCATTTCTACACAAAATGACCTTCCAATCTGCTGCCGTAGAAGGTGAAGAATAGGACATATGTCTGGCTGTTGGCCTTCTAAAGCAATGGGGGAAGGGTGCTGAGTGTCTCTGAATTTGTTATATAGATTTTCTTTAATCCCATTTAACCCCATGCCACACTACCTTGCTCTCCCCAGATGTTGGTGTCCCTGAGACCACAGTCCCACTAGTTTATTCTCCAACAAATGACTTTTCTCCAGTGTGACAGTAAAAGGCAAGGATGTAACCACCTTCTGGCTAGGAAAGGCTGAGAGGAAGCTGCACCCTCAGGGGTCTGCCAGTCACTCTATTTGAGCCTGTCCCTCCAGCCTTCCACTGATCCTATACTCTTCTTGCAGAGCTTCTCAGGCTCCATGGGCAAGTCATCTGCAGGCATTTAAGGAGGTACTTTCTCCACTCTGCTAAGTTGCTTGCCATGCCTGCATCTGTTTCCTATCTTCAGAAAAGTGGTTGAGCCATTCCATTCATTATTGTCTCTCCTACTATTCTTTTTGTTCTTGCAGAACAATATCTGTACTTACCTGCCAACATTTCAAGAGTTTGGGAGGCAGACGTGATAAGTCTATGTGAACAACGGACTGTGATTAACTGGAAGCCTAATGACAATTAAGAAAACACAAACAATGGAGTCAGTCAAGTGGCGAAACTAGAAAGGGCAGTCTAGGCAGAGTTCTACATGATGGTCTTCTAGGAGACATATAAAATCATCTGTTCATGGGTAGCATCTTTCGACTGCGGAATACCATGCGACTTCAAAAGAAGTAGCGTAGTATTCAAGTAGCATAGCATTCAATTTTCAAGCTTAGCATATGGGAGGATACAGATTTTATTCCAGGTCTCTCACTAAGTAGTTGTGTATCTATCAGGAAAATTGAACTTCTCTGGGCCTCCATTTCCTCATCTGTCAAAAATGGAGAAAAATTAGACCTACTTCATAAGGTTTTTGTACCAATTAAATGAAAAGATGCTTTGTGAAGAGTTTAGCCTTGTGTCTAGCAAAACAGTAAGCACCAATAAACATGAGTTAATGTCATCATCATCAACCTCCAATTATACAAATACACATTAATAGGGAAAATTTGACTAAGAAGACTGACCAAAACAATTTAGATGAGCAGAAGAAATTTGTATGAAGAATTAGCAACCAAATTACAAAAGACTTACTTTGGATTCAGTTTCCTAATAGAAACTAGAGTTATTTGAAGGGTTAAACTAAACATAAGTATTTGTGTAAGATGCTATTTAGAACGTATCACACAGTACTTATTAAGTAGTAGCTATTTTGCTATCATTATTATTAAATATAGGCATAGGACAAATAAAGCATCCTGAAAAGTTTAGAACTGGAAAGTTGAAATTAAACTGCAAATGAGAGTGACTGACTGTCAGACTTAAAAACTAGCCCAGAGGTACACTCTGATATTTCAGTCAATCCCTGGAAATAATGGAGGGTCCAGCCAAGTTCTCCTATAGGACTTTGTACTTCCCTTAATACATATCATTACCTGTTCATGTATTTTCCTCAAGGGACTATAGCTGTGGTTAGGGAGGAACCCAGTTGGTTTAATTCTCCCCTCTATCTCCCCAACATGTAGCATTGTACTTAGAACACATAGTTCATGATAAATAAAAACTGCTTAAATTATCTAAATAAACATTTGCAAGAGCAAGCTTGAGGTGATAGAATGGAAAATAGCTGGTTTGATATGCCTTTCATTTCATGCTCATGACCTCACAAATCCCCAAATATTCCATATTCTAGCCTTTTTTTAAAAAAAAAATTAAGTTTCTTATGCATAAACTAGGCACATTGAGTAGCACTGAATTAAACAACCCCATTTGACTTCAACTCTTCAGAAATCTCCAAGGTTGGCAAATCTCACACGAGCCTGCCCAGCAGTACTGACGCCCTACTTGACAAAAGGGTTAACAGCAAAGCACTTTAGGAAAGGACTACAGTGCTGACTATATTTGTTTTTACCCGATATACTTACCAGGCTTTTCTTATTAGCTAAACATCTTGTCACAGATTATTAAAATGAAACAATTGTTGTTAAAACAAATGAAAAAAAGATGCTGTCTGTAATGCCTTGAATTTTACTCTTTATAGGCCTGCCAATTATAAGATTCTACAATATTTCCTGTCACCACGGAGAATGAATGGTTTTTTTCTGCATAGTACACAGGGTTGAAAAGTATCCTAAGACAAAACATTGTATTTTAATGATGCTTAAAGTATTTTCACGTGTTTACATCATTTGGTTCTACCCAACGATTTAGTAGGAATAATTCCATTCTTGCAATGGAGAAAAAAGGAGTTAGTGAGGACTAAGTGACTCAAACCAAGGTCACACAAAGAGTTGAGCATGCAAGACAGTGGAAAAGTAGCCACATAAACAGCAGTCTGGGAGGAAGAGGACTTGGGTTCTTGTCCTGTCCCAAGTCTAATAAGCTAAGCAACCTTGGGCTAGTCATCTCATTTCTCTGGGTCTCAGTTTCCCTATGTAGAAAATGAGAAGTTTATATTAAAAGCCTTTCTAGTTCTAATACTCGGAAATTATAGAATCTATCCCCAGATTTTCTGAGCTCTTTCCAAAGTAATACATGAAGTTGTTCTCTGGGATCAAACTTCTGTCACCAAAGAACCCAATTCCTTCTTATTTCTCAGTTTCCAGATGCTTACTTTGAAAGACAACAAATTGTATGCAAATGGATTGAGAAGCTGCTATGTGGCAGGCACTATACTAGGCAGTCATGATGCCAAGGTGAAGAGACCTGGTGCCTGCCCTCAAGGAATTTACTGCCTAGGGGAGACACATAACCACCCACAAAGCTATGTCATGGCTGTAGAAATGGAGAGATGACATACAGTATGCAGAGGAATTAGATAGATGGAAAGATGGATGGATGGATGGATGGATGGATGGATGGATGGATGGATGGATGTAGATAGATAGATAGATAGATAGATAGATAGATAGATAGATAGATAGACAGATAGAAATATAGATGTATGTAAGCAGGCTCAGCAAGCTCAGGTTGGTCTTTTTTAGGAAGGGATATTTGTGTTGACTCATTAATGGACAGAAATAATACATTGTGATGGTACATAATAGCTTGTGCAGAGTCAAGAAGGTAGGGGGTGGCATGATGCATCCAGAGAACCACCAGTCCTTCTGGAGTGTGGATGGGGCTGTGGAAGCAGAGGTGCACACAGTGAGAGGCAGGGCTGGCAAAAGGAGCCGGATGTAGTCATGAATGGCTACTGTTGTTCCATGTGCTGTTACTTTTTAGTCTTGATTTATTTATTTATGTTGTACCTTGCTCCTGAAAGGATCTGAGGTTGTGTTAGTCCATTCTGCTTTGCTATAAAGTAACATCTGAGGCTGGGTAATTCAGAAAGAAAAGAGGTTTATTTGTCTCATCATTCTGCAGACTTTATAAGCATGGTAACAGCCTCTGCTTAGCTTCTGGTTGGGGGCCTCAGGAAGCTTACAATCATGGCAGAAGGTGAAAGGGAGGCAGTGTGTCTCATGGCAAGAGAAGGAATCTTTTAAACAACCAGCTCTTGCATGAACTCAGAGTGAGAACTCACTTCAATGCTGAGAATCACATTTCAACATGAGATTTGGAGGGCTCAAAACATCCAAACCATATCAGCGGTGGTTTGTTTAAGTGAAAACAACAATAACAAAGCAACAAAAATTCAGACTATCTTAAATAATAAGGAAATATATTTGGCTCAGGAAAAAAGAAACCTAGAAACCAGCTAGACTTCAGGATTTATTCACCTGAAGACTATAACTCAGTTTCTCCATAGTTTTATGATTGCCCCTTACTCAGTGTATATACTTCCCTCTGACATCCAGTGGTTACTTTTTCAGTCACAGGAACTGTCTGACTCAGAACCCTAAGAATTTCTCCCTCTTGTGTCTCTAGACTGAGCTTGATCGATTCATGAATGGAGTCCAGGGGCCTAGCAAGTGCTAACTGTCTTAGACCTGGATTCCTGAATCACTATGCCAGTTTTGCATGAATTAGCTCCAAACAACTTACATGAACCTCCAGAACTGAAGATGGAGACAGGGTTCCTGAAATCAAGGGTGACAGAAGGAGGTACATCATTAAGTGAACACTGGGATAGTTTACTTAGGGCAAATACAATAATGGGTATATAAACAGCAATATCCACTGCACTCACAATAAAGTAAAAATTAATACAAAGATTCTGATGCAATATAATAGTCTTATAATGTTATTTTGTAGTCTATATAGCTCTATAGACTATATAATAACACATAGTACTGTTATATTATAAATAACAAGATAAAGCTGAAGAGATAATAAAGGTAAAATGGTGAGATGAGAACAATGGGAAAGTTACTAGATAGACTCTGAACAGTAAAAGCCCCAACAAGTTAATTACAAATAAAACGGCAGGCTGAGAGCGGTGGCTCACGCCTGTAATCCCAGCACTTTGGGAGACCGAGGTGGGTGGATCATGAAGTCAGGAGATCAAGACCATCCTGGCTAACATGGTGAAACCCCGTCTCTACTAAATATACAAAAAAATTAGCCAGGCATGGTGGCGGGCACCTATAGCCCAGCTATTCAGGAGGCTGAGGCAGGAGAATGGCGTGAACCCGAGAGGCAGAGCTTGCAGTGAGCAGAGATCATGCCACTGCACTCCAGCCTGGATGACAGAGTGAGACTCTGTCTCAAAACAAACAAATAAATAAATAAATAAATAAATAAATAAATAAATAAATAATAAATGGTAATTTTGTTTTGAGCCTCCTGGCAGCCAAAGCAAAGAAGGAAGAATGATCAGTTAAAGGGGCCACATTATACTTTGGAGGAATAAAGATATTTCTGATCCAGAGTCCTCAGATAAATTATTTTTCCCACAAGTCTTCCTAAAGGGGTCACTGCATGACAATGGAACTGTCAGTAGCATCCCTATGGTGTATGCAATGAGGAGTTTGAAAACATCTATCAACACTACCACAAATTTAATTTAGTTGCTCCGATATATTTGGTCCAAACCAAGGCAATTCTCAGATGCTCTGGATTAATCCAAGGATAAAATTTGGGGTGATAAGAGGATGTCTCTCAAACTGGGGTAAAATTAGAACTGCTGGGGACACAACAGGAGTTAAAAATAGTATATATTCCTGGTGGCAGGAAGGAAATCATTTTGGCTTGGCCTTTTTCGTGATAGAAACAAATTTAAAAGATTATTTTTGTATTTAAACCAACATAAATATATTACAGAGTAGAATATAAAATGCATAAATGCTATGAAAAAGAGAGCATAAATGAAAGGATATCCCAGTTGTGTGAACAGCCTTGAGCTATATACCCAGTCCCCCAGAGGCGTCATCTCATGGTCTTCTACCTTTCAGGTTTGTTCAGAGGAAAGATTTCAAGACACTTCCCTCTACATTTTCCTCATCTGGCCAACTCCTAGTCATCTCTGATAGCTCCTTGTACTCCTTTGATCATGTCACTCTGTACATTTTGTTGTGGTTATTTGTTTAAAATCTGCCTCCCTTAATAGAATGGCAAGAAATTGGCTACCTTGTCCTCCAATTCC